CACACACACACACACACACACACACACACACACACACACACACACACTGTCTCATTCCCCTGGCACCTGAAAGGAGTCTTTCTTTCCCCTCAAGCCCTTTGGAGGCTGACTCTCTAGACTTCTGCTTTTCTTCTATAACTTTTTGAAATTGATTGTATCTGTGTCTATCCATATACATATATATATACATTATATATATATATACATATATATGTATATATATTTCCTCTCCTGTCATGAAATCCCTCAAGGACTACACATATAACTTTTATAGTTGATGATGAAATATACTGTGAGCTATCTATATCTACTTACTTACCTACCTACCCATCAATCTATCTACAGGGTGTCCCAAAAATCTTAGTGCTTAGCTTTACTAGCTTTAAATTGCACTAAGAATTTTGGGATACCTTGTATATCTATACAACTCTATATGTGTAGATATAGATACACGTGGGATAGATTGCCTCTGAGGCTCTTTATAACTCAAATTTATAATCTTCTTATCCCTATGATCCTCTGATCCCTAAGAAAAGTACAGCAGATATTCTAGAACTCCTGAAAGTATATATATATGTATATATACACAAAGCACATACATATATACACATATGTATATGTGACACTTATGATTTCTATAGGAATAGAGCATATATGTATACATACATGAATGCATATATGCTTGCATGTACATACATTTGTTGTTTTCAGTCTTTATCATTCATGTCTGACTCTCTGTGACCCCATTTGGGGTTTTCTTGACAAAGATACTGGAGTGGATTTCTTCTCCAGCTTGTTTTACACATGAGGAAACTGAGGCAAAGAGGGTTAAGTGACTTGCCCATGGTCACACAGCTGGTAAGTGTCTGAGGCCATATTTGAACTCAGGAAGAGGAGCCTTTCTGATTCTAGGCCCAGTGTTCTATCTACTGTACAACTTAGCTGCCCACATTTACTATATATTATATATAACCCCCCCCCACACACACACATACACACACACAGGTGCATATATGTGTGTATGATAAAAGAGTCCCTTGATGTTCCACAAACAAAATATTCTATTTCTCTACTCTGCATGTTTTCTCTGGCTGTTTCCCATGCCTGGGATACTCTCCCTCCCCATTTCTATCTTCTGGCTTCCCAGGTTTCCTTCAAGCCCCAGCTAAAATCCTATCTTTTTTTTTTTTTTGGCTAGGCAATGGGGTTAAATGACTTGCCCAGAGTCACACAGCTAGTGAGTGTTATGTGTCTGAGGTGGGATTTGAACTCAGGTCCTCCTGACTCCACGGCCGGTGCTCTATCCACTGCACCACATAGCTGCCCCAAAATCCTATCTTCTGCAGGAAAACTTTCCCAACTCTACTTAATTCTAGTGACTGTTCCTGTCTTAATTATTTCTTGCTTATCTTGTATATAACTTGTTTATACACATTTGTTTGCTTGCTGTCTCCCCCATTAGATTGTAAGCTCCTTGGAGGCTGGAATTGTCTTTTGCCTCTTTTGTATCCATAGCACTTAGCAAAGTACCATGCACATAGTAGGTGCTTACTAAATGTTTATTGACTTATTACCAATGCACATCAGAACCTGCTCAGTTTATATTAAAAAAAAAAGTATATACACATATACATGTATAAACACCACATCATTATTATCATCATCATCATGATGTATTGGCCTCGGAATCAGGAAGATTTGCCTTGAGTTCTAGAGTTTTCATACAGGACAGTTATGTGTATTTATAATATATACATGTATATAGTGAGTGTCCCAAAAGTCTTAGTGTAAAATTGCACTAAGATGGAGTGTCTTGTTCAAGGAAAAAGGGAAGGCCCTCAGTGCAAAATTGAACTAAGACTTTTGGGACACCCTCTGTATACAAATGTACCTTATAAATACATATAACTATCCTGGATGGAAACTCCCTCAACAAAGCAGATCAGCAACTCATTTGTAACTTGTAGTGCTAGAGAGTTGCATCGGGCACTTTGAGCTTAAGCGGTTTGCTCCTGGTCATATGTACAATACAGATATAAACAACTCACCAAACAAAAAATCTACTCCATTCAATAAAGGCAAAAAAGTCTTGGGCTTAGATCTAGCTAGAATTAAGCATTCTCCCCTTCTTCCACTTTCTACTCCTCGGTTTTGCATATTCCTCTGTTGAGTGTTTAGTTATCTGAAGTACACACTCCTTCCTCTCCCACCCCCTTACTTTCATTATCTCCATCCTACAGCAGAAGTGATACAGAAAGCTAAATCCATCAGTTGCCTGCCATAGGAGTAACAGACCAAATTCTGGCCTCCAATGTTAATTTTCCAAATTGACAAGATTCATTAAGGCGAGAGCAATGCAGGAATGTGCTGGTAAATGTTTAACAATTGGCTGGGGGTCGGGGAAGGGAATGTATAGGTGCTATTTTTCAGCTTAATTTGCATTGTTAATATTTTCTCTACCTCTTTCTTCAATCGAGACAATCAACAAAATAATAATCCAAGCCCAGATTCATAGTGTTCGGCTGATTTTTGAGGAGTAAATGCTCATACTAAATATTTAACAATTGCCTGTTTGAGTTGACTCTGGCACACCCCTGGAGCAATGTGACCTCCAGCTCCAGAATCCATTGGTGTGAGGAGTTGCTGTTGGTATATGGTAAAGAAGATAGAGTCAGGGGAAAGAAGAAAAGATTATCGAACCTGAACAAGGAGAGAAAAGAAAAAGAGAAAGAGGAGAGAAAGAGCAGGAAGGAATGAAGAGGGCACCAAAGAGGAGAGAGAACCAGAGGTGAAGGATGAGAAATCTGGGAGTGGCAAGGGTAGAAGCCTGTGCAATGAAGACCTTATCTAAATTCATCTCAAAGATTTATCATAAGCCCTAGGCTTGGATCTTGAACCCAGAAGACTTGCTTTGACATTTTCCTGTTGTGTGACTATGGATACACACACACACACACACACACACACACACACACACACACAGAGTTTACCCTTTTTGGAATCTTAGCTTCTTCCTCTGTAAAATGGGACTGGCAAACATATAAATGGTACTAATCCCACCAGGCTATTGTGAGGCAAGTGTTTTTTAAAAAAAAGTACTATAGAGCTCAGTCTCAGTCTCTTTCATGGCTCTTGTAGCACCTAGCACAATGCTGGGTACAGATTAGTTACCTAATGCATGCTTCTTGATTGATGATGAAGCACATAGTTGCTCAGTAAAGGAAGTTGGAATTCTAGCATATCTGGCCATGTCAAGAAGTCCCTAGCAGGAGGACTGCACCAAATACACTGGTCAAGTGAACAGTCAGCAGATCATGGATTAGGAGAGAAGGGACCTTAGAAGTCATCTAGTACAAACACATACACACATTTTACAGATGAGGAAACTGAGGCTCAGCGTAATTGACAGAGTCAGGATTTAAACCCAGGTCCCATAATTCCAAACCAATACTTTTTTCCCACTGTATCCATAGTGGGACTGTCCCACCAAAGACAGATGTCTGGCCACTTTATGGCTAGAGATTAGATCCCTAGCTTTCTGATCATTTCAATTTACACAACCAGAGGTTCTCATTTCCAGTTGTTGGAAGGAAACCATTCCCTATAATCTGATTCCTATCCCCTAAGGAAACTTCTTTTTTTAAAAAAAATTATTGATGCCTTAAAAAAAACAAACAAACAAACTATCACAGTCATTTCCCATTGTAGTGTCCACCCCCAGCAAAACTGGATGACAAAGTATGATCGCATAGGCAACATTGTGCATCCATAATCCCCTCGGCTAAAAAGAGGGAAGTGTGCTTCATTCTCTTGTTTTCTGGGACTGAGATATCTCATTTGCTGCATTTTAATGTTGCTGAAGCAGTTTCTTTGCAACCTCACCCAGAAGAAAGATTCAACTAAATGGGACTTCCCCTACAGGTACAGAGCAAACAAAACTAGTCAAAGAGGGCCTCTTGCAGAATATACCAAACATACATCACTGTGCACAGATTGACTTCATGCAACACAGAAGCCGTCATACAAGACCACCGTTCTGAATCCATATAACGAATGTGGTTGTGAAGAAAGCCGGGGAAACTCCATCACTGTGCCCCTCACCTCATTGGGAGTAGTGAGTGCGATAAGCCCCCGAAAATTAATTACCTGAGACGAGGCAGGCAAGAGCTGAAAACAGCAAAAGGAAGTCGAGGTGTAAGAACCTGGTTTGGGCCATGCCCAGTTCCAGTCCTGTCCAGTCCATTCCAGTCCACTCCAAATGCCTGAGACCCGAGAAGAGAAAATAAAAATAGAACATCAAAGGCAAAGCCAAGATGAGCAGTTTTTAGGGCTCTACCCATATGTGTAAAAGAAACAGGAAGAAGTTCATAATGATTACCATTCATCAAAACTCTAGAGGGTTTTCCTGAGGTTTCAAAATAACCTTTCAATGTGTAGTTCTTTATTAAAGCTGGGCCCCTGCAGCACTTACATTTTTTTTAAACTTTTAAAAAATCTTTTAAAAAATGGTCTCCAGAAGGAAAGGTCCATCCATTTACTGTTTCAAAATCAACCAAATGATGCTCCTTTAAAAAAAAATCCAATTTTATTTCAACCATGCTTTATCAAATTATACACACACTGCACAAATCTATGCTGTTTAGTAATAAAAGAAATCCATCTTTTTTTACTTTATGAATTTCATTTCTAGTGTTTCATGTGTCTCCAGTGAAAGCAATTTACTTGTGCCTGAATAGAGAAAAGAGGGGAAATCGATTACAAAAATTGTCACATTACAATATGTTCTATGGTCAGCTTCTTGTTATTGTAATTTGGAAATAATTTCATTTCTAAATAAAACTACTTCTACTATTTTTGCTCAAAGTTGCCAAAAATTCAAAGGGAAGAGGGCAAGAAAAGGGAACAAAGCATTTATATAGTGCCTATTATGTGCCAGGCACTGTGCTTTTTATAAATATTACCTTAAAGCAAAATACAAAGGTCAAAGTACTCGCTATAACACAAAAGTTCTTTTGTTGGAACAGGGTGAAAAATCAGAGCAATCAATAAATCAACAGATATTTATTAAGCCCCTATTATGTACTAGCACTGTGGTCAAGCTGAGGATATAAGCACAAAGAATGAAACAAAAAGAAGGATTTGCCTAACTGTGAAAAGAATCTTGTTTCTTAATTTAACAAAGTTTTCTTGAAAAATATGCAACTAGATTTAGATTCCCTTCTACCCCTTCATCAATGATGATTAGTAAAAATATTAAGTAAGGAAATAAATTTTGCATGACTTAACATATATAATTGATATCATATTTTACTCGCCTTCTCAATGGGTGGGGGAGAGGCTGCAGGGAGGGAGAGAATTGGAAACTCAAAATTTTTAAAAATGAATATTAAAAATAAATGAATAAATCATAAATCTGAGAGGGAAAAGTAAAAATATTAAGTACCTAGAGGAGTGAAGTAGACTGTATCAGTGGAAAGAACCTATAGACATGCAATAGAAATGACTTCTCATTTCCCTGGGCCAACATAAGTGGAGACTATGAAGCAATGAGACTTATTCTTGGATAAATATACTTACAGGAATGATTTAGGAGCCACACAAAATCATGGTCATGAATTTTAATTATTATTGCAATCTGTGTGAATTTGGACAAGACTCTCAGCACCTAAACTCTTTCATCTGTAAAATCAGAGGCTTGGATTCAGTGGCTGCCAGAGTTCCTTCTACCTCTAAATCTATGAACCAGTTGCCAAATGATCTCCAAGGGCCCTTCTACCTCCAAATCATATGTTACAAAGACTATTGTCAAACACATTTTAACCCAGCTCATTCCGCAGACTTGGGAATTTTCAAAAACATCTTTGAAGAAGGAAGATTTAACATTGTTTTTAAAAAATTCTAAAAATCGTACCCCAAGGCTGAAGGCAAATCTAAAAGAAGACTTCCACAAAACTTTTGGACAACCATATCTGGAAGAAGTACAGGGCCTCCCGAGGGGACTACTTTGAAAGAGGCAAAACTCATTCAGAGCTACAAGTTTCAGTCTGATGGTTCAAAAAAAAAAAAACAAACCACGTCCCATTGAACTATAGCAGCCTGTAGTACTTTAAAAATCATCCCACATTAAGATGAGCAAAATTGTACTTACCAAAGTCAAGTTCCTTCCTTTTCTTCTCTAGAAAAAGTTACAAGGAGAGCTGACCCTCTTATTCCACAGGTTTCCAGCCTTGAAATGGAAAATCAGTCTCGTTAACTGTCTTTTTCTCGGACTGATATCACTAAGACGTCACTTCCCCAGCACTTCTCTAAAATGGTTTGAGGATCTGATCCTTCTGTGACCCAGAAGCATTAGAGTCAAACGTAGGGTTGACTTGAGATGAAGTCATAGAAGGAAGAGACACCCACAGAGTGTGATTTCAGGAAGGCCCTAAAAGAAAGCAAGAAATAAACCTTGTCCCTCGGGGAGAGTGAACCTGGAGAGAACAACCTTGGGACTGGCCACCGCTGTCCTCTCTCTTTTTTTTTGTTTTTGATTGAAGGGGCCATCCCTTGACTCACTTCTTAAAGACGCCTATTTACTGAATGGGCGTTGCCTCATCAAAGTGAGAACCTGGGAAGACCTTAGCTTAAAAGGGCCAGGGTCTCCCACTGTATCTTGGGCAGTTTCCAGTTCTCCAGATGGATATCTGGCCACTGGGCCCAGATGGCTGTGGAGGAGAAAGTGAGGCTGGTGACCTTGCACAGCCCTCCCTCACTCAAATCAAAGTCAATTGCAAGTCATGTCATCATCTCCCTGATGTCATAAGTCCTTTTCAAGAATGAAGGACAAACCACACAACCACAATCTTTTTCTACAAGTGAAATCAGCTTAAATGGACACCAAGAGGGGCAGCCTTGAAGTAGGGGGAAAAGTCAGAATAGAGATATAGATATTCTGTGAGGTGACTGTGTAAAAGCGGGAAAGGGCAGTTCCATCGCATGGTTGTGTAAAGTTGGATGCTTTGCGTGTGTGTGTGTGTGTGTGTGTGTGTGATCTTCATGTCAATACCAACTGATAGGAACAACTTCCTGAAGCTGTAAGACACCTTGAGAGAGAGATAGGAGCCAGTGTGTGTCAGCAGAATCAGATCACCAGCATCACCTTGAACGCAACGCCCCCTCCTCCTCTGATGGAGGTAGCATTGGACCCAGAACCTAAGATTTTTGGGATAGCAGTGCCCTCTGAACTACTAGCCAAAGACATGCAACATCTTAAGGGGAGCAGTCACTATAGAAAAGAGGTCTGTCTTCTTTATCACCACCAACATCAACTATTGACCAACTGCCACCCCAAAGCCACGTAAGCCCAAGATCCCTGGGAACGGCACTTCCCTCCTTCCTCCATCCCAGCCCTGACAGCAGCTCCCACGGAGATGCACTCTGGAACCACTTCTGCTGCTGTACCTCCTCAGTAGCCACAGCTACTGAAGACCTGGAAAAAGCAGTTCATACCACCAAAGTCCTTGGTGCTGGCAAGTGGCACAACATCAGAAACAGATGTGATTTTATCAGTAGAAATGACACTAAATAAGATATATTATCATCTGTGTTGCTGCTCTACTCTGAGGACAAATGGATATTTCCATCTGACTTGTAGCTGAAACTTCTTATATGTGTTCTGTCCCCCATTAGAACGGGGGTTATCTGAGAGCAGAAGCTGTTATACCTTTCTATTTGTAGCCCTGGTGCTTAGCACAATGATTTGCACATACAACTTTATTAAATATATGCTTTAATAAATAAAAGCTCAAATAAATGCTTTTCCCCTTCCTTCTTGCCTCTCTCCCTCCTTCCCTCCCTCCTTTACTTCTTTCTTTCCTGCTATCATTCCTTGTGTGATAGCTTTCAGACCCTTCACTACCTGGGTCACCTTCCTGTACATATTTTGTTTCATCATATTATCAGTCAGTGTCTCTCTTGAATTATAATGTCCAGGATGTGATGAAATACTCCAGACATTATGACTGTGAAGTATAGTAGAATGAGTATTAGGTTTGGAGTCAGAGAACCTGAGTTCAAACTGAGGTTTTGACATTTACTAACTGTATGAGTTTGGACAAGTCACTTACTTATCTGAGCCTCGGTTTCCTTATCTGCAACAAGGGGATTGGGCTATGTGATTTAGATCCCATGACTATTCCTTCTCACAGCTTATACAGTAGACACATATTAATACAATCTAACATTATACCAGTTGTATTTTTTTTAGTTCTAACTCACTGTTAAATATTGGAGCTTATGAAATAGAAGCCAGAAAGAGGAGTCCTTTCTCTCTGTCTCTGTCTCTCTCTTTCTGTCTGTCTGTCTCTGTCTCTGTCTCTGTCTCTCTCATATTCATAGCAGCACTTCCATTCTAACAATGAATTAAAAAAAATTATGGATTCCTACACACTGAGCAATGATGAAACAAATTGTGGTTTATAAATGTCATGAAACATTGTGCAGTAAGAAATACTGAATATGAGGAATTCAGAGTAACATGGGAAGACTTTATGAATTTAATGCAGAGTGAAATAAGCAGTACTAGAAGACCAGTAGATGCAATGACTAGAATAGGTAAACAAAGGGAACACTAAAAGTAGGGTGATCTTGGAGAAACTGCAATGACCTGTTTTCATCAGGCAGAATGATGGAACATAGTTCCTTCTTGGAAGAGATATCTGATCAAGCTCTAAGCACTCCACAGTGCCAGCTTCAGCTGCCTTCATGACCCCTGGCACACAAATTGTTCTCATCTCCCAGGGGAAATCTTCATGTGTTTGAGGTAGATGCCCCTTTCTCCCAAACCCTGACTCAATGATTGATTTGTGGCCCTTTGGTTACCTTCAATCTGGTTTAGTCCATCTGCACAGTTTACCGGGGTGCGACAGCTGCACATGCTACAGCTTCTTGGAGCCACAAGTGAGAGTTGAGTGCCAGGCAGACACCAAAGGTGAATGAGCAGCCCTGAAAAGAGCTCAGTAAACTCTCACACCAGAGGTGCTAGTCTTCCTTGAACACTCATACACTAAGTGCAAAGTAGGTGCTTAATGAATCCTTATTTATTTGACTTGACTTGAAAGTGCATTGCATCTAGCATTAGGATCCTAGAATTTGAATCCAGGTTCTGCCTGTATAAGTTAGCTTCTGATTCCTTTGTGGTTAAATGAAGATAATGAGTTATACTACCAATTTGAGAAGCAGATGAGATAATTTTTGTAAAGTACTTTATAAATGGCCATTGTTACTATTATTGTTGATTTGGTCTGGAGCTATGATTTAATCAACAGGGAAAGTCCCACTATGGAAACTCTCTCCACTGTTGCTGGTCAGTAACTATTTGTGATTTATAGTCTTAGAGAGTTACCTGGGGACACTTTGAGGTTAAATAATAGGCCCATAGTCATATAGCTAGTATCTGTCAAAGACAAGACTTGAACTCGTCTTCCTAATTTTAAGGTAAAACCACTATCTATTATTTCACATAGTCTTTCATAATAATAATAATAATTATTATTATTATCATTATAAATCTACCTATGTATACTAATATCCAGTCTACATTTCTCTATCCTGCCTTACCAACTTGTCCAAATAATTTTAAATGTTAATTGTCATCTATGGTAGTAACTCAGTTTCTAAATTTATGATCTCCCGAGCCTTGCATTTATTCTATATATATTTACAAGTGTCTTTGTTACCTTCTCTTTAGGAAGTAGGCTCCTTGAGAGAAGGCATTGTTCAATTCACTGTATTTGTATCCTCATAGTCAGTCATGAGGAATTCAGAGAATCCAGCACTTGGGAGGTACTTGATAATTATCTATTTATTGAGTGATCCTAAGAACTATGTACATGACAATCAACTTTTTGATTACACTAGAATTGTTTGTTGGTATGGATGAGTTTTAATAAGGTGGGATTGTATTTTTTTACAGATTGGAGCAGGACTATGGTAATTCTATAATAGAGATGTTTTTAGGGGAAAAAATAGAATTTGATTATTTATCCTGCTGGCACAATCTTTGAGGAACCAGGGTGCCACATAAACTTGGGCTTTTGTAGCTGATCATGATATTATCATCATCAATATAATATAATATCATAATATTATTGGTCATGATATAGTCATATAATTATGGACCAATAATATGGTCATAATAATATCATCAATAGTAAAATATTTATTGAACATCTACTATATTCAAGGCATTGAGCTAGGCCCTAAGGATACAAACAATATACTATCTATTCCTGTCCTTGAGGGGTTTACAGTCTAGACAGAACTCATGTATAAGCATATATTTATTTGTACACATATGTGATATATGCATATATGAAGAGTACACACATACATGCTATAAATACACACACACACACACACATATATATATACACACACAAGTTTATGTACAGGCCTCCGTATGTAGGTCTATAGTGTCTGTATAGACCTACACATATACACCATTTGTGTATATATGTATATAACACACACACCTATACAGATTTTTGTTGTTGTTCAGTCCTTTCAGTTGTGTCTGACTCTTTGTGACCCCATTTGGGGTTTTATTGGCAGAGATACTGAAGTGGTTTCCCATTTCCTTCTCCAGTTCATTTTACAGATGAGGAAACTGAGGCAAACATGGTTAAGTGACTTGCTCAGAGTCACACAGGTAGTAGGTGTCTGAGGTCAGATTTGAATTCATGAAGATGAGTCTTCCTGGCTCCAGAGCTGTATTCACTGCACCACCTAGCTGCCTCCTGTATCTCTCTCTCTCTCTCTCTCTCTCTCTCTCTCCCTCCCTCCTTTCCTCCCTCTCTCTCTCCCTTTCTCTCCCTCTTTCTCTCCCTCTCTCTTTTTCTCTCAGTCCCTTACCACATTATAGAAGGACTTATTTCACAAAAAATAAGGCTGGAGAGGCTGATTGAAGCCATATCATGGAAAATCTTGAATACTAGACTAAGTAGTTGAGATTTTACTTGGTAGGCAATGAGGAACCTTAAGGTTTTTGAGAGGAAGCTGACAAATACAGAATGGTGCTTCAGTAAGATAAATCTGGCTGTCCTCAAAAGTCAGAAAAATGTGCATGCCCTTTGAACAAGTGATACCAATGCTAGGCATATACCCCAAAAGATAAAAGAAAGAGGGAAAGGATCAAGCTATACAAAAATATTCATAGTGTCACCTTTTGTTGTAACAAAGAACTAATGCGCCCAACAATTGGGGAGCACTGTTGAACAAATTATGATGTATAAATATAATAG